TGAGCTTTAAATTATCGACGAGATGAAATAGTATCTTTTCAACATAAGTTGTAAATTATAATATAAACCGTGCGATCCATTTCATTTTGATGCGTCTCGTTATACAAAGTAATGAAAATATACTAAGAATAAATACGTCATTGAAAGATTTAATGTCTTCGATTCATTCGTTTATAATTCGGATGATGATTTTTTTTGTTCATAAAATTTTCTATTTTAAACAAGTCTCATACATCTTATCATTTCAATTTCAAATATTTTCTGTGCCAATACTTGAGGGTGTGGGTGTGGGTGTGTGGGTGTGATGTGAACACAAACACCCACACCCACACACCGACACCAACCCACACCCACACCTAAATAGAATACAGTCAGTGAAGAAGAAATTGAACTATATGTATTATAACATAGCTTTTTAATTGTTACTGTAGTCATCGATAAAACAGTATGTTAAAATGTATTATAGAAGTTTTCCGAGATGATATGTTGAAGAAATATTCATATTCTTTATGTAATCTTAACAAACATGTTCATCTTCGCTTAATGAAATTATGTCGATAGTACTTAGGTATTTCTCACAAGCTGCAAATAAACTCGAAGATCATTTCGAATCATAAATAGGTATTATCTTTATTTTATATATTCACAATTTTTTTCTATAGCTTTATTGTATAACAAAATAATTAAAATTATCACTAGTATTTTAATGAAGAATTCTTACACAATCATCTTTGCCAAGTAATAAAACGATAATTTTCCAAGGAAATGCACATAGTTGAATGTTAATAGCTAAATTAAGAATTCTATTTGTTCGATGATGTTCCAATTGAATTTGTCGATTATCACAATCTAGCATGAATGTTACTTCATCTCCTGTTCGAATAATTTTTGTTGAGTCATATTTGTGTTTTTTACCACTTATAACATTATAGATAAGATCCCACCAACCATAGAATGAAGTTGAATTCAATATATCTTTTGTCATTTTTTCCGATGAATTAACAATACCAAAAAATGAATAATGATCCGTATTGATATGCTCGAATCGAAAACGAATATAATGTATTCCGGATGAATATCGACCAATGCAACCAACACAAGATCTGTCTGAATAATCGCCTAAACATGTTGCTAAAAGACCTCCTTCCGATAATACAACTTTCCCGAAAATATCATTGAATCGTTCACAAAATAATGTTTTCAAGTGACGATAAATTGGATTGTTAGTTTCATATAATTGTGATGCTTGACAGAAAAAACCGGATGATTGTTGGTCGGTTATTTTAATTAAACGAATAACTGATTGAATGTCATTTTCATAGTCAACATTAATAGTCGTTGGAGTATTGAGTATCTTACGAAATTCTTGTAACTGAGCAGTCCATTTCTTGATATCTTGTTCCGTATAATCATCTGATTCTTGACTGGATTGAAGTTCTTCTGTTATCTTACTAATTAATGTCTTGAGATTATTTTTAGCTGTATCAAGTAGTTGTTGTAGATTATTACGTGCTAGTTTAGCTGCTGTTTGAATTTTTATTATGGATTCTTGTTCCCATTGATCGATATGCTCTAAAAGAGGATGTGTATATTGCTCATGTGTTAAATCTCTACATAAAATATCGTGTTCTTGACCAATAGTATCCATTTGTTGCGAAAGTTCCTGTCGATGTTCAATAAAATGTTTTGTACAAAAAGCTTGTTCACATCCGTAACACATAGCAGTTCCTCCACCTTTATTACATTTAATGCAAGCTTTCTTTATGGTTATTGATGCCATTATATTGATCTGAAAAAATATATGTATATATCAAAATGTTTGCCAAGTCACATTTTTTACTTATTACAATGAGTTTGTTCTTTCTTTCATTACTTTATTAATGCTGTTCTCTTTTTTTCTTCACGTATAAAGAAAAACGAAGTCTTGATTAAAAGAAAACATTGTAAAACAAAGAAAGAATAAATATTTTGTTCGCACATCACATGCTTCAAAGTTGGCAAGAAAAAAGAACAGAAATAAAAGTGATGTATTTATAAGAACTATTATCGCCTATGGACATGTTAATTCGTATTAGACATGTGATAGTTTGAAAAAAAAAAGAAGGCAATCGGACTGTTTAAGTAAAGGTTCTTCTATAATTTTTCTGTGCAATAATAAACATTGTAGTAACTACGTCTAAATATGTTAATTTACAAACAAAATATTGTTATACAAAACCTATATTTAGTCACACATTGTTTATTTTATAACACATGTATAGAATCAGTACTATCAGGCACATTATTTCCGATAAAAACTTATTTTGTCAAGAAAAATCAAATGTCTCTATTGAATATGAATAATTATGTTTATTTAGTGCTGTTCAACAAATAATATTTTAAAATAGAATCGCTTATCCATTTGAAACATATTCAACTGATAAGTTTTGTCCTTGATTAAATCAGTTTCGTTTTTCTCGATAGTTTAGATTAACATTTTGTTGAAAAAGACCGTGTCCTTGAGAACATATCTTCATATGTATAGCAGATTTTTGTCAATGATCACAACTATATATTAGTTTACGACATTCAGGATACACGTACTTTATATGTAAGGTCTAACAATCAAGTAGAACAATATTCTCAGAGAAATTTTTATTTCAAATTTATAAATAATATACATCTACTGAACAGCATGTATCATAAATCTAGCTTTCATTTAAGCTTAAAAAACGTTATTCTTTTAATAGAATTATGTTTTTCTTATGTCGTACCAATAAAGAAAAATAAATCAGATATATATTTCTCTTAACAAAGAACACGTATAGATCCATTTCGAGGTGATAATGCCACAAGTATTTTCCATGGAAATGGACATTCTTGAACATCAATTGATTGACGAATAAGTCTATTTGTTCGATGATGTTCAAGTAGAATTTCTCGATTATCACAATCTAATATTAATGTTACTTCATCTCCTGATTGAATAGTTTTATTTGAGATACATGTACTTAAACTTTTGCCATTAACAACAGCATAATCTAAGTCAGACCATCCATTTGCCGATGGTAATGTAATTTTTCTTAGACTTAATCCTTCTAATGATGAAATAATACCTAGAAAAGGACAAGAATTTGTACGTTCATCGATTCGAAAATGAATTCGATGTACACCAGATGAATATTGATTAATACCACATATTCTTGAATAATCATCACCAATATTTTTAGCGGCAAAACCTTTTTCTGATAAAATGACTGGTCCATGAAACTTGTCAAATCTTTCTTGTGTATAAGTTAAATTTAAATTTTCAGAAACTTTTGAACTATGTTCTAAAGATGAATATATCCGAGAAGAAAGATATAATTGAGGATTAATTTTAATCAAATCAATTGATGATTGTGAATGATTATTAAATAGAATATCTATATTCACGGGTGTTTCAAGTCTCATTTGAAATTCTTTTAATTTATTTAACCATTTCTTAAGATCAATTTCTGTATAATCATCTAATTCTTGACTTGATTGAATTTCACTAGTTATTTTATCTATTGATGTTTTCAATTCATCTTTTGTTCGATCAATTAATTCTCGAAGATCAACTCGTGCTACTTCGGCAGCTACTTGTATTTTTGTAATTGATTCTTGTTCCCATGTATCAATACGACTAAGAAGTGGATGTTCTGAAATTTCTTTCAATAAATCACGTCGAAGTAGATCATGTTGTTGTCCAATATGATCCATTTGTGTTGCAAGTTCTTGTCGATGTTCAATAAAATGTTTAACACAAAATTGTTGTTGACATCCTGAACATATAGCTATACCACCACCTTTATCACATTTTACACATGATTGCTTGACATTTAACAACGATGACGCCATACTATTTAAATAAAATTGATTTACAATTTTCAATAGTTTTACAATACATAAAAATATGAAAAGTAATCAGTATTGTTAGAAAAAGAGAAAAAAAAACAATAATATTTTTTGTTTCGTTCTCTTCATTCAATGGTAGAAACATAAAAGTAAAGAATTCATGTTAAAAAACAAAATTTTCTGTTGCATAGATGCAAAAGAAATTATCTAACGGCATGATGTAGTTTGAGAAAACTTATAAATTAAGATGTCTTCTTACGACAAAACGCTATTTGAAAATAATGCTAATTGTTAAGAAAAACGTCATCTCTAGAATAATGTTGTTCTTAGCTGGTTTATTCTATTTTATAATTGTATTACATATTCTCTTAGATATAAGTGATATAAAAATTTTATCTCATTAATTATAGAAATTTTAGACTTTTGAACTTGAATTTCAAGGGTTGTATAATACGCCCTCTCTATCATTAACGTTCATGGCAAAGGTAAAGAAAACATTTTTTATTGATTATTCATAATCCATTAATAAAAGTCATTTGGTATGCAAAGAATAAAAAAAAGATTCTGAACTATTAATATTCATTCAATCATTGTTCCCAAATGAAGAATAAGACTTTCATATGAGATTTTGTCTCTTGAGTACATTTATTTCTTGTTCTTTTGTTCTGATTGACGCTTGATTTGTTGCTTGTTTCAACAATATATCAATGTTCTGAACATGTGTGATAACTCTCATCTCATTGACGAATAGACCTAATAAAAATATGAAACGTAAAGATGAATTATGAGACGCTATTAAATCATCAAATATATGTACTGTTCAACATATTATATTTAAATATCGATCAGAGAAGAATAGTGAATATTTGAATAAATATATTTTCTTTTTGTTTCTGTACTCAATTGAATTCATGAGATATCATCTCACCAAAAAACAACGATCAATTTGAACGTCTAATATGATAATGGGTAAATAAAAATTGATTATATAATTTATCTGAAATGTTAATATGTTCGTATCCTATGTCAAGAAGTTCTATTATTGGACAATTTCTTTTATGAATATCTTATATGCATTTGATTGTATCGTTTTTGATAACTGAAGGCAAAATAATATTTAATATGTTATGTGTTTTGTTGTTGTTGATATGCATATTTGTAAGTGTGTAACGAAGAAAAAATATTAGATAATCATTCATGATCGCTTCGATTGATCGTTTGTTTCTTATTCATATACGCTTTACTGATACTGATTGCACATGTTTCTGTTTAGAAAACGATCGAATGCTTTTTTCCATATGGTTGATATTGTTGTTCTTCGATATTCTCTTCTTTCTTGTTTAGTCTTATTGATAATAATAGACAGAAAAATATAAGATGATAGTTCCCATGTCGAGAGAAAGAGATTGCGTATGTTTGATGATGTCATAAAAGGAAAGACGAAATACTCGAATTTAATTGAATGTAATGAGGAAAATTGACACTTGGAGTTTTTTCTTTTCTTTCGTGTAAAGTATTCTCTTAGTGTAAGTTGAATGATAAGAGAAAAAGAAAAAGAAACGGAAGTTTAATGTGTGAACATTGAATTTGTTGGTGTATCATTACGACGATCAAGAGATTAACCGCTCGACAGCGCATGTTCTTTTCTCATCCTTCTCTTACTCCCTGGAGTAAGAAGAAGGACATCGAAAGAGAAAGAGAAACGCTACCACTAGCTCTCCCGACCCCAACCATTATAAAAAAAGGTCGTCATTTGTTGTACATAATTGGAGAGCATACAAAATACATCTATGCTGCCGCCCATTTATTAGACTAACTCGAATGTTATATTTCGGCATCATTAACAATCTATCTAATACTACTTCTTTTTCTTCTCTTCACAACTCGGAACAGCAGTATCATCTCAAACTGTATAAGAAACATAATAAGTATGTAAGAAAAAAAACCACTTATTCTATATTCAATAGTTCGAAGTAATCAATTTTAATTAACATGCTAACATATTACATGCTTGTTTCTATCATCACTTAAAGATTTCCTTGAGAAAAAAAATAACGTCGCTACATCCGTATGTTATCACATTGATTAGAAAAAATGATAAGCATCAAACTCATTTCTTTTTTTTTTTCTATCATGTATTGTGCATAAGTTCATTATCAAAAACTGTATGAATATTCATTTCTTCTTATTACTAATCATTTTCGACATTCATTCTCATTCTTTTGTTTATGTATGTTTAAAAAAGTCTGTTGATCGTTTAGATAAAAAAATGTCGGATCAAAGAATATGCATGAGTTGCGAATAAAGTTGTTCCTGTCAGTTTTAGTTTTGTGCCTCAAATGAACTATTGTCTGATTCCCGAATGACAGAGAACATCACCAGAAGGAGAAAGGTCAAGTGCTGCTAAACCGATAACCATCATGTCATCTCAAGAGAGATCGTATGAGATCACCGTTGTATTTCCATCATTTTCTTTTTTCTTTCTTTTTGCAATTATCTCTATACTTCTTAATGTTAGCCTTCGAAAAACAACCTGTATAGAATCTGATCAAACTGATCATTTTCTCCTATCAACATCTTTCATAGTTCTTTACACGCAATCTTTACAGTTTGTGTTAAAAGTTTACGTAATCTTAAGTGCACATACAAGACGCACATCATTGACATAAAAAAAAAAAGAACGGCTAACTGTATAATGGCATGTAGTTATTTCTCCATATAATAATTAAATAAAAAAGGAATAGTATATACCACAATGAATCGTTCATTTGTCTCTATATAATTACAATTCAAGGTCACTTCTTCTTTTTTTTCTCTCTTTAGAATGAGCTCGATCCACGAAGCAGCCGTGGCGGGTAATAGTGAAAAACTAAAGCTGCTCATTGAAAATGGTGCAAATGTAAATTTAAAAGATTCGAAAGG